TTTTTTTTTTGAGACCGAGTCTCACTCTGTCACCCAGGCTGCCGTGCGGTGGCACAATCTCATCTCAAACTCTGCAAACTCTGCCTGGCGGGTTCAAGTGATTCTCCTGCCTCAGCTTCCCAAGTAGCTAGGATTACAGGCAGCTGCCACCACACCTGGCTAATTTTTATATTTTAATAGAGATAGGGTTTCACCATGTTGGCCGGGCTGGTCTCAAACTCCTAAACTCAAGTGATCTGCCCACCTTGGCCTCCCAAAGTGCTGGGATTACAGGTGTGAGCCACTGTGCCCAGCCTAAACATACTCTTAACGTTTCTTAGTTGAGACATAATCAGAACCAGAAATATTTCTAAGCATTACATTCTGCATACTTATTCTCTTTACTTAATAACCATTTGAAATATCAACTATATGCTTAGGTTACCTTCAGAAACTTACATACATAGGCCCTCATGTAAACTATTGACTTTAGGTAGTGATGATATATCAACATTGGTTATAAAAAATGTACCACCCTGGTGGGGATGTTGATAGTGGGGGAGGCTGTGTATATGGGAAATCCCTGTACCTTCTGCTCAATTTTGCTGTGAACCTACAAGTGCTCTAAAAAAGAAAACCAACAAAGTATTCCATGGAAAAAAAAAAAAAGATACATAGGGTACACTCATGTTCATAGCAGCATCATGCAAAATAGCCAAAGGTAGAGATAACTTAAGTGTCCATCAGGGATGAATGTATAAACAAAATGGGAACTTGGCCATAAAGTATATAATTTAAAGTTATTAAATAAACTCGCACTAATAAAAGAGTTGTTCCAAAGATATTTTTTCTCTCGTTGGAGCTGATTGTCAGAACATAAAAATTTGCCATCTTGGGCCAGGCATGGTGGCTCACACCTGTAATCCCAGCACTTTGGGAGGCAAGGCAGGCAGATCACCTGACATCAGGAGTTTGAGATCAGCCTGACCAACATGAAGAAACCCCATCTCCACTAAAAATACAATATTAGGCGGGGCACAGTGGCTCACGCCTGTAATCCTAGCACTTCGGGAGGCTGTGGCGGGCAGATCACCTGAGGTCAGGAGTTCAAGACCAGCCTGGCCAACATGACAAAACTCTGTCCCTACTAAAAAGACAAAAATCAGCTGGGCATGGTGGTGGGCGCCTGTAATCCCAGCTACTCAGGAGGCTGAGGCAGGAGAACTGTTTAAACTCAAGAGGTGGAAGTTGCAGTGAGCTAAAACGGCACCATTGCACTCCAACCGGGGCAATAAGAGCAAAACTCCATATAAAAAAAAAAAAAAAAAAAGTAGCCAGGCGTGGCGGCTCACACCTGTAATCCCAGCTACTCAGGGGGCTGAGGCAAGCAGATCACCTGAGGTTGGGAGTTCGAGATTAGCATGACCAAGATGGAGAAACCCCAACTCCACTAAAAATACAAAATTATCCAGGAGTGGTGGTGCATGCCTGTAATCCCAGCTACTCGGGAGGCTGAGGCAGGAGAATCACTTGAACCCAGGAGGCAGAGGTTGCAGTGAGCCAAGATTGCACCATTGTACTCCAGCCTGAGCAACAAGAGCAAAACTCTGTTTCAAAAAAAATTTTTTGGCTGGGTGTGGTGGCTCACGCCTATAATCCCAGCACTTTGGGAGGCCAACACAGGTGGATCACAAGGTCAAGAGATGGAGACTATGCTGGCCAACACAGTGAAACCCCATCTCTAATAAAAATACAAAAAAAATAGCTGGGCGTGGTGGCACGTGCCTGTAGTCCCAGCTACTCAGGAGGCTGAGGCAGAAGAATTGCTTGAACCTGGGAGGCAGAGGATGTAGTGAGCCAAGATCAATCCATTGTACTCCAGCCTGGTGACAGAGTGAGACTCTGTCTTAAAAAAAGAAAAGAAAAGAAAAGAAATTTACCATCTTAACCATCCTATTTTTAATCTTTTTTCTTTTCTTTTTTTTTTTTTTTACTTTTTTTTTTTTTTTTGATGTCATCTAGACTGATTTCGAACTCCTGGACCAAAGCAGTCCTCCCACCTCAGGCTCCCAAAGTGCTGAGATTACAGGTATGAGCCATCATGACCAGTCCCTCAAAAGATTTTGTCTGAAAAAAACCAAATAGTTCCAATTCTAAAATAATTCTTATGCTATATTTTAAAATAGAGTTTATACTATTTGGGTTTTTGTTTGTTTTGTTTTGTTTTATTTTTGAGACACAGACTCTCTCTGACATCCAGGCTGGAGTGCAGTGGTGCGATCACGGCTCATTGCAGCCTCTACCTCCCCAGTTCAAGTAATCCTCCCACGTCGGCTTTCCACATAGCTGGGGCTACAGGTGCAAGCCACCATACCCAGCTAATTTTTGTAGTTTTGTACAGATAGGGTTTCACCATGTTGGCCAGGCTAGTCTCAAACTCCTGGGCTCAAGTGATCCTCCTGCCTTGGCTTCCCAAAGTGCTGGGATTATAGGCATGACCCACTGCACTCAGCCTACGCAATTTTTTTTTAAAGAAAATTAACACTATGCTGTTAAAAGAAAGTCACTAAGTGTGTGTGTCGGGGGGGAAGTAAGGAAAAAAAAGAAAATTAACACTAACAAAAAAATATGCAAGTATTAAGTGGTAAGCAATACAAATTGTATAATCTTTTGCACTTAGTTCAAAGAAGAGAGCATAAATTACTTTTGAATTACATACATTTTAAAGATTTTCAAAGAAAAATAATAGTGCAATATACAAACCTGTCATATTTTTGGGTCCAAGATTCTTCTATATTTTTAAATCTATTATGATCAAATTCTATTTCCCACTGCAAGGCATTTATCTCCTACAGAAATAAAATAGTATCTTCATGGCAAATTACTACAAATAAATCATTTCAGGACATTGTGAATAGCTGAAATAAATCCTATAATCAGTCCATAGAAATGGTTTAAAGAGAAAAAATTAACTACTGCTCAAAAAGTGTCTATGACATTTGTAAACATATATAACATGCCTCTTTAGCACTCAAAACAACTCTGCCAAAACTCACTTAATATTGAAAAAAACTCAAATTGTTTGGCTTTAAAATTTGCTGGATTGCTACACCTGGATTTCTCAGTGCCCGCCTCCGCTGCAAGTGGTGACCTTAAGCAAAATCTTGTCCTGGAAATCTTAGCTCAATGGTCCCACCAAGGGAGAACACACCAGGCATAGGAGACGTGACCATCTAGGATGATTCCTAACTACCTTTATAGTGAAGAGGGGGTGGTCAGAAAGACATATGTCCTGCAAGGCAAGGATGAGGATTAAACAAAAAAATTTTTTTAAGAAGAAAAATGAGAAGTATCAATTTGGCAGGCCTTCTACTACCTTAATATGGGGGGAAAAATAACCTTAATTCATTGTGCACATGACAATCTGTTTTAGCTGTAAACTCCAAAAGGGAAGACCATCAGAACTGAAGCACATCTAGCATAGGGTATGCACAAATGACAGATCCATTAGTATGGTGAATTTAGAGAAATTATATTAAAGCTTATTGGACTGAATGAAGTCTAGATTGAAAGCAGCAAATACCTTCTCCAAGGATCTCTTTTGTTCCATAGTTTTTTGAAGCACTGCCTGCGTATGACTTGTGGCTTTGCCAAGTATTGCCTAAGAAAAATAAAACTAGCATCAGCATAAATTAAATTTGTAATCACTCCTATGTACATCATGAAATTCTCTTTTATTTTAAGGCAACAGAAAATTAAGATAAATTGAGATAACTATTTTACAGTGACCACCTTTTATGGAGAGTCTGATAGTTCAAAAGTCAGGAGATCTTGGTTTGGTTCTTTTCCAGTGAATGTGGGAATGAATGAATGAACTTTCCACACAAAGAAAGTGTTCAGAGCACTTTCTATTCATCAGTCAAAAAGTGAAAACCACCTGATATGGTTTGGCTCTGTGTCCTCACCAAAATCTCATCCTGAATTGTACTCCCATAATTCCCACATGTTGTAGGAGGGACCTGGTGGGAGATAATTTGAATCATGGGGGCAGTTTCTCCCATATTGTTTTCGTGGTAGTGAATAAGTCTCATGAGATCTGATGATTTTATCGGGGGTTTCTGCTTTTGTATCCTCTCATTTTCTCTTGCTGCCACCATGTAAGAAGTGCCTTTTGCCTCCCACCATGATTCTGAGACCTTCCCAGCCATGTGGAACTGTAAGTCCAACTAAACCTCTTTTTCTTACCAGCCTTGAGAATGTATGTCTTTATCAGGAGTGTGAAAATAGACCAATACAGTAATTTGGGACCAGTAGAGTAGGGCATTGCTGAAAAGACACCCAAAAATACGGAAGCAACTTTGGAACTGGGGAACAGGCAGAGGTTGGAACAGTTTGGAGGGCTCAGAAGAAGACAGGAAAACATGGGAAAGTTTGAAACTTTCTAGAGACTTATAGAGTGGCCTTGATAGAAATACTGATAATGACATAGACAATGAAATCCAGGCTGAGGTGGTCTCAGATGGAGAGGAGGAATTTGTTGGGAACTGGAGCAAAGGTGACTCTTGTTATGTTTCAGCAAAGAGATTTGTGGCATTTTGCCCTGCCCTAGAGATTTATGGAACTTTGAACTTGAGAGAGAGAATGTAGGGGCATCTGGTGGAAGAAATTTCTAAACAGCAAAGCATTCAAAACGTGACTTGGCTACTGTTAAAGGCATTCAGTTTTAGAAGGGAAGCAGAGCATAAAAGTTCGGAAAATTTGCAGGCTGACAATACGATAGAAAAAAAAATCCCATTTTCTAAGGATAAATTTAAGCCAGCTGCAGATATTTGCATAAGGAATGAGAAGTTGAATATTAATCCCCAAAACAATGGGGAAGATGTCTCCAGGGCATGTCAGAGACCTTTGCAGCAGTTTCTTCCATCACCAACCCCAGAAGTCTAGGAGGGAAATATGGTTTTGTGGGCAGGGCCTAGGATCCCCATGCTATGTGCAGTATAGGGAGTTGGTGCCCTGCATCCCAGCTGCTCTAGCGGTGGCTGAAAGGGGCCAAGGTACAGCTTGGGCCGTGGCTACAGAGAGTGCAGTCCCAAGCCTTGGCAGCTTCCACATGTTGTTGAGCCTGTGGGTACTGAGAAGTCAAGAACTTGGGTTTGGGAACCTCCACTAGATTTCAGAAGATGTATGGAAACACCTGAATGTCCGCGCAGAAGTTTCCTGTAGGACTAGGGCCCTCATGGAGGATCTCTGCTAGGGCACTTCAGAAGGGAAATGTGGGGTTGGAGCCCCCACACAGAGTCCCTACTGCAGCACCACCTAGTGCAGTTGTGAGAAGAGGGCCACCGTCCTCCAGACCCCAGAACAGTAGATCCACCCATGGCTTACACTGTGTACCTGGAAAAGCTGCAGAATCTCAATGCCAGCCCGTGAGAGCAGCTGGGAGAGAGGCTGTACCCTGCAAAGTAACAGGGGTGGAGCTGCCCAAGGCCATGGGAACCCACCTCTTGCATCAGTGTTACCTGAATGTGAGACCTGGAGTCAAAGGAGATCATTTTGGAGCTTTAAAATTTGACTGCCCTGCTAGATTTTGGACTAGCATGGGTCCTGTAACCCCATTGTTTTGGCCAACTTCTCCTACTTGGAACAGCTATATCCAATACATATACCCCCATTGTATCTGGGAAGTAACTAGCTTGCTTTTGATTTTACTGGCTCATCGGCAGAAGGGACTTGCCTTGTCTCAGATAAGACTTTGGACTGTGGACTTTTGGGTTAATGCTTAAATGAGTTAAGAGTTTGGGGGATGGTTGGGAAGTCATGACTGGTTTTGAAATGTGAGGACATGAGATTTGGAGGGGCCAGAGGCGGAATGATATGGTTTGGCTCTGTGTCTTCACCCAAATCTCATCTTGAATTATACTCCCATAATTCCCACATGTTGTGGGAGGGACCCATGGGAGATAATCTGAATCATGGGGGTGGTTTCCCCCATACTATTCTCATGATAGTGAATAAGTTTCACGAGATCTGATGGTTTTATCAGGGGTTTCCACTTTTGCATCTTTCTCATTTTCTCTTGCCACTGCCATGTAGGAAGTGCCTTTTGCCTCCTGCCATGATTCCGAGGCCTCCCCAGCCATGTGCAACCGTAAGTCCAATTAAACCTCTTTTTTCCCCAATCTGGAGTATGTCTTTATCAGCAGTGTGAAAACAGACTAATACACCACCCAAATGTTCATCAGCTGGTGAATACATAAACAAAACACGGTGCATCTAGACAACAGAGTATTACCTGGCAATAAAAAGGAAGACAGTACTGATACATGCTACAACATGTATGAACCTCTAAAACATGCTAACTAAATGAATCTCGGTGCGAAAGAATCCAGTCACATATCTTATGATTCTATTTACATGAAATAGAAAAGGCAAATCTACAAACAGAAAGTAGATCACTGGGGATGGGGGTAGGAATACAAGGAGTGACTGCTGATGGGCACCAAGTCCCTTTTTTGATGCTGGAAATGTTCTAAAATTAGATTATAGTGATGGTGGTACAACTCTTACATCTAATAAAAATGAATTGTACTGTACACTTACATGTGAACTTCATAATATATAAAGTTCTTAAAAATATACATACCTAAAAAAACCCTCAATTGTATTAAGTCCTTCTGCTTTTGTTCTGAAAGTTAAAACTGCCAGGTTCAGTGGCTCATGACTGTAATCCCGGCACTTTGGGAGGCCGAGGCAGGCAGATCATGAGGTCAGGAGATCGAGACCGTCCTGGCAATGGTGAAACCCCGTCTCTACTAAAATACAAAAAATTAGCTGGGCATGGTGGCACGCACCTGTAGTCCCAGCTACTCAGGAGGCTGAGGCAGGAGAATTGCTTGAATCTGGGAGACGGAGGTTGCAGTGAGCCAAGATTGTGCCACTGCACTCCAACCTGGCAAAAGAGCAAGACTCCATCTCAAAAAAAAAAAAAAAAAGGAAAAAAGAAAGTTAAAACCACACCAACATTATTATTGGAACACGTAAGTGATGAAAGTTTAAAAACAACTTCTTACCATGCTTTGAAGAATTTTCAGTGCTTCCTCTTTACCTCTGAGTTGCCTTTGAGATGCCTCAAGTTCAGCTTTTAAAATTTCTACCTCCTGAGGACAGAAAGAAAATTAGTCTTCCTATCTGCAAGATATACAACCCTAAAATTACCAGTTTGGCTAATCTACATTTACCTTTGGCTCAAAGCACTTACAAATGAGGCTTAAAATTCCTCTAGACTTAGTGAGTGAGCCCGACATGCTAAAATTGAGAGCCTCGGACGGGCGCAGTAATAGCAGCACTTTGGAAGGCAGAGGCGGGTGGATCACCTGAGGTCAGGAGTTCACAACCAGCCTGGCCAACAAGGTGAAACCCCATCTTTACTAAACACACAAAAAATTTGCCAGGTATGGTGGCACACGCCTATAATACCAGCTACTCCAGAGGCTAAGGCAGGAGAATCGCTTGAACCCAGGAGGCGGAGATTGCAGTGAGCTGAGATTGAGCCACTGCACTCTAGCCTGGGCAACAGAGCAAGACTCTGTTTCAATAAAAAAAAAAAGATAGCTTGGTATGGTGTCTCACACCTGTAATCCCAGCTACTTGGGAGGATGAGGCATGAGAATCACTTGAACCAGGGAGGTTTTTGAGACAGAGTTATTCTGTCACCCAGGCTGGAGTGCAGTGGTATGATCTCAGCTCACTGCAACCTCTACTTCCTAGGCTCAAGTGATTCTCCTGCCTGAGCCTCCCAAGTAGCTGGGATTGCAGGTGTGCATCACTACCACCAGCTTAATTTTTGTATTTTTAGTAGAGACGGGTGTTTCACCATGTTGGCCAGGCTGGTCTTGAACTCCTGACTTCAAATGATCTACCTGCCTCTGCTTCCCAAAGTGCTGGGATTACAGGCGTGAGCCACCGTGCCCAGTCCCAGTTGGCTTTCACGTTGTTTACATACTAAGGTTGCAGTTCCTTATGTAGGGAATCAAGGTAAGGAGGCAGCTGCAGGCCCCAATCCAATGACTAGTGTCCTTATAAAATGAAGGCAATGTGGACACAGGTTCATAGGGAGAAGGCCATGTGACAGAGGCAGCAGCTGGATTTATGCAGCTACCAACCAAGGAACACCAAGGATTGCAGCAAACATCAGAAGTGAGGAAGAGGCAGAGGACTCTCCTCTAAAGCCTGCAGAGGGAGCACTACTGAAACTTTACTCTTAAGGGGCACAGACTTAGGTTTCAAACTTCAACCTCTAGAACCGAAAGCACATAGATTTCTGTTGTTCTAAGCCACCAGTTTGTGGTACTTTGTCTTGGCAGCCAAATACAGTGGCTTTCACAGGAAGAGACCCAAACGCACACTAAGGTGGGCTTCCTAGTTCTCAAAGGACAGACACCCCTCACAGAAACTGCTCTTCCCACCAAGGCAGTGGGCTCCTCAGGCCACCTGAGACTCTGGGCTTGACTTTAACAAGGTTAAATTAAGTCAGATTGTTAGAAGCTACACATACAGGGAAGGCACATGGAAGGAAATTGTAACTTACTTTCTCAAGGAGGAGATTAGAGAAGTGGGGTGGAAAGGAGAACTGGTGGGATGTTCACATGGCCGCTTCTTTAAAAGATGAGGTGGATAAGAAACAGAGGAAGCCAGTTGAAAAGGATGAGCTCTAAAGTGTGGCTCAGTAAGAAAATCTGGAAAGCCAAAATTTGCCTTCCACACAGATTTGGTACCACTTAAACAAAATAGCTATCAGTGGACTTCATTCACATGAAAAGTTGTGGGTTTTTTTTTTTCTTTTAAATCAAAGGTCCCTTACTGGTCCTGTTTTCACGAGTTGCAGTGACCAGGGAAAAAGGAGAGGAACCAGCCAGCACAGGGAGGTGTTATCTCCACAACATTCCATTTATACACAGAACTAAACAGACAAGCACAGGGTCACCATTGCAGCTGGAAGTTGGCAGCACGAGAAGGGGGAGGACCAGGTGGGGAGTGGGGGTGTTGTTAAAGAAAACACAGGACCCCCTACAACTAGGGTGCTTGGTGGGATGTCTGCTTCAACCCAAGAGGAATCAGAAGATCAACAGCAGTTTGAGAAGGCCAGTCAGGGATGGAGGGAGGAAAATACAGGGAGGAATATCCAGGGAGTAGGGCGTCTGTTTGGCAACTGGGGTGAAGGGATTGCCCTCTCCCTGCTGTGATCCCCTCAGCCCCTCCAGTCTGGTGGATAGGAGGCAGCCTGCAACCCCCAAGGGCAGGTGTGGGGCTGTCAGATGCTCCAGGCAGGGGGCCAGAAGGGGCTCACAAAGGCTTGCCCTCCTAGAAGATAATGGCCCTGTCCCCCCGCCACCAGCTTCTCTGCCAGGGTGCAGCGGTCATTGACCTCCTCGTAGCAGTTTGCTTATTCATGCATGATCCCTGTCAGCTTCTTCTTGATGGCATCCTTGGAGTTGGCATAGATCATTTTGCTCTTAAGGGGCACAGACTTAGAAGCCCAAAACATAACCAGGTCCTCCTTCTTGCTCTCCTTGGTCTCGTAGGTTGCGTCATAGAGGGCGTAGTAGCAGTCCTTATCTGGCAGCATCTTGACAAAGGTGGCACAGAGGTCATCGACTGTCTGACCCACATCGCCCACCAGTATCTCCTTGCCCTCCTCCAGGAATATGTTCCTCTTGTCCTTACTCTGGCAGAAGAGCACCACCTTCTTGTGCTTCTTCACCCCTTCTGGCGTTGAAGACTTACACAACTTCATGTCATTGAACATCCTGATGACACCTTCAAAGACAGCCACACTGGAGGCCATGTTTCTGGAAGCGAAAAGGAGAGGGCACGGAGAGCAGCAGAAGACGAGAGCGCTATAGCCACTGCAGGGACCCGGCTGAATTGAGAATTTCTTCTTTTTTTGAGACAGAGTTTCACTCTTGTTGCCCAGGCTGGAGTGCAATGGCACGATCTCAGCTTACTGAAACCTCCGCCTCCCGGGTCCAAATGATTCTCCTGCCTCAGCCTCACAAGTAGCTGGAATTACAGGCATGTGCCACCACACCAGGCTAATTTTGTATTTTTAGTAGAGATAGGGTTTCTCCATGTTGGTCAGGCTCTGGTCTCGAACTTCCAACCTCAGGTGATCCACCCACCTCGGCCTCCCAGAGTGCCGGGATTACAGGCATGACCCACTGCGCCCAGCCAAGAATCGAGAATTTTTCTATTAGCCAGATCACCTACCTCTAAAGTTTCATGAAGACATTGCCTTAATTCTTCATTTGACAGTTCTGCATTCGAATCTACTGGTGTGGGGGAAGAAAAGAATCTATTAGGGGAAAATTTTTGAATATTTTAACTAATTAAACAGAGGACATTTGTTTACAAATTACCAAATACAGGTAGGTATCCCCTAAATTGCAGAGAGAAAAATTATAATACACAACTGGGTGCAGTGGCTCAGGCCTGTAATCCCAGCATTTTGGGAGGCCGAGATGGGTGGATCACTCGAGGTCAGGAGTTCAAGGTCAGCCTGGCCAACATGGTGAAACCCCATCTCTACTAAAAATACAAAAATTAGCTGAGCACGGTGGTGGCAGCCTGTAGTCCCAGCTACTCGAGAGGCTGAGACAGGAGAATCGCTTGAACCCAGGAGGTGGAGGTTGCAGAGAGTGAAGATTGTGCCACTGTACTCTATCCTGAGTGACAGAGTGACTCCGTCTCAAAAAAAAAAAAAAATTATAATAGACCAAATCATGTTAAAAATATGTCGTGTGAAACATTTCACAAATGAAAAGACATATATTGTACTTTTGAATAAAAAGATTTTCAAAAAGGACTCTTAAGGATTGCTTGAGGCCAGGAGTTAGACATAAGCATAGGCAACACAGACCTCTGTCTCTACAATACATAAAATAAAAAAAAAGCTAGATGTGGTGATGTGCTGGTAGTCCCTGCTACATGGGAAGCTGAGGTGGGAGGAGCACTTGGGTCCAGGAGCTTGAGGCTGCAGTGAGCTGTGACTATACCACTCTAGCCTGAGCAACAGAGCAAGACCATGTGAAAAAAAAAAGGACTCTAAAAGAATATAGAAAAACATGAATGTTAGTGAATAAAATAAATAGATTTTGGTATTTTGGCTTCAGTTTGAATGGTGTAGTAGTATAAACATAAGAAATAACGTGGGCCAGCACAGTGGCTCATTCCAATAATCCCAGCACTTTGGGAGGCCAAGATGGGCAGATCTCCTGATGTCAGGAGTTCGTGACCAGCCTGGCCAACATGGTAAAATCCCATCTCTACTAAAAATACAAAAATTAGCCAGACACAGTGGCATATGCCTGTAGTCCCAGCTACCCAGGAGACTGCGGCAGGAGAATTGCTTGAACCTGGGAGGAAGAGGTTGCAGTGAGCCGAGACTGTGCTATTGGAATCTAGCCTGGGTGACAGAGTAAAATTCTGTCTCTAAATAAATAAATAAATAAAATAACCTGAAGGCTGGGCACAGTGGCTCACGCCTGTAATCTCGGCATTTTAGGAGGCTGAGGCGGGCAGATCACCTGAGGTCAGGAGTTTGAGACCAGCCTGTCTGTATGATGAAACCCTGTATCTACTAAAAATACAAAAATCAGCCAGGCATGGTGGCATGCTCCTGTAATCCCAGCTACTCAGAAGGCTGAAGCAGAAGAATTGCTTGAACCCAGGAGATGGGGGTTACAGTGTGCTGAGATCGCACCACCGTGTACTCCAGCTTAGGTGACAGAGCGAAATTCTGTC